GAGGTGCATGGGGTAGAAGTGCCTACAGGGAGTGTGGTGGGTGGAGTGGGCCTGACAATCGGGGGGCTGGTGGGTGTCAGACAGCCCTCCTTGCTGCTGTCAGGAACCAGCCAGGACCAGGCCATGTCATCGCAGGTGGGTGCTATGGTCCCGCCCGGCAGGCGACAGTCATCTACTTGACTGTTGGTGCAGGTGCCTGGGGGAGGGGAGAGCGCCCTCAGAGGTCCGCTCACCCCCCGCCCAAGAGTCTGCTCTCCCTCCCTGGCCCTCCCCTCTTGCACCCTGGGGTGGGCGGGGGAAGCAGGGGCCATGGGCTGGGTGGCAGGTAGAGCAGGCAAGATTCCTGACTGGTGGGGACTCTACAGGATGGCTCTGGGGGAGGTGGGGGGGGGTCTCCATGCGGGCGGAGGGAGGCCCTCACCACACTGGCCCTCGGTGTTGTGGTGGAAATGGGCATAGGAGAGCTGGACTTGGACAATAGCCCCGTCGAAGGTGACGTGGACACCGAGGGTAGAGATGTCCACACCCATGGTGCCAGTCACCATCTCAGAGATGGTCACACCCTTCTTGCTGAAACCGTGGCCGACTTGCTCACTGTCGAACAGGACCTGGGGACACATGTAGGGAGCCTATCAGGGGCCACAGGGCCGCCCCATCTGCCCTTCCTCGGGCTGTGTCCACTGTGCTTGTCCATGGTCAGGCACCGTGCTGGGCGCACAGGAAGCCCCGTGGCCTCCCTGGCCCTGACCTCTCCTCACCAGGCTGTGCCCTTCTTTCTGGGGTACAGCCAGGAAAGCACGCTCTTACGTGTGCTTGCTCACTGCAGCGAACCACTCCCTGTGTGCTCAGAGTGCCACAGACACTGCTTCCGGGTCTGCTGGCCCCTGCTTCTCCCGCCCGCAGCCCCTCCCTGCGCAGCAGACCCCCCTTTTGATGTATAGCCCCTGGCAGGGACAGCGTGTCCATGGATAGCCAGGGATAGCCAGGTGCAGCCATGCATAGAGCACCGATGTCAATGACCCGAGACCATTGTCCCTGGGCCTTCAATAGCCCAAGACTTTTGTCCCCAGGGCCAGGACAGAGACTCGCTGACCTGTCACTGGTGGTTAGGCCTGCTGAGCTGGGAAGGGCTGTGCTATGTTGTAGGTGAGCTCCCAGAAGTGGCCCTAGGGCACGTCCCCTGGGTCCCCAGCTCCGAGCAGCCGACACAGGCACCACAGCGTCCCTGGCTCCAGGAGCCCCCCCTTGCTGCTCATGATGCTGGAGGCACCTGGCCCAGGAGATGCCCCACCCTCCTGCCTGAATCTCCTCTCAGGGCTCCACTCTCGATTGCCTACCCCCACCCCTGGCCCCTTCTGCCAGGCTCTTCTACCCTGTGATGTCCGCTCCCTGCGCCCCAGTGCTGGGTCTCCCTGCGCTCCCCCTCCCTTACCCCGCAAAGGCTCCCTGTAGCCCTGCTACTCTTGGCAGGCTGAGCTCTTCCCTGCAGCCCCCCCACCCCCCTGCTCTCTGCCTGGGCCTCCACACCTCCCCTATCACTCATCCAGCCAGCTGTCTGACCCGGCCTGACTTGGCCCCACAGGGAAGCCCAGCCCTTCCAGCGCTGTCCACCTGGTGCAGCCTCCTCATCAACCCTTGAGGCAGCACAGCTTCCTGACACCCGCCCTCCCCTTCCCTCCCCTCTCAGGGTGCCGGCTCCGGTGTCCCCTGGTTGGCCCTGCCAGCCTGTGGGCAGAGAGGCTGGGGTGGGGCAGGGAGGATGGGACCCACCAGGCTCTGCAGCTTCCCGCCGCTGCTGGTGAAGGTGAGGACCACCTGCATGGACAGGTAGTAGAGCAGCAAGGCTGGGTGGCAGCTGCTGGCGCCCGTGCCCAGGGCAGTGGCTGCGGCACAGTGCTGATGATCCAGGAGGATGGTCAGGTTCCCGAACTGCGGGCTGATCTCCCGCAGGAGCAGGTAGGTGCAGTTGTCCCGGAAGGAGAAGGTGGTGCCGTCGAAGGTGGAGTAGGTGTCTCCCCAGCCTGTGCAGATGCCTGCGGGCACAGAGTTCAGGGCTCCCAAGGGCACCGTCCTACCATCCAGTGCCGCCCGGAAACCGTCACCTCAAGAGAGCCACTGGGCCCCATGTGCCTCCTCATGTGCCTCACTGGCAAGGTGCATGGGGCCCCCCCGCTGGCCCACTCGTCCACCCAGAGCCTGTGGATGGGACCGAGCCTCGAGTTCGGGGTCCAGAAAGGAAACACTGACCCTGTCTTGACCCAGGCTCCCAGGTGGCTGCCACTGAGCTACCTCGTACCTGATGTCTAGCTCTGATGGTAAAGCTCAAGATTCATGAATGATCGTGGCTGGTAGGTGCTGTTGGCTCCGTCCTGACTCTTAGGGACCCGCCTGCACACAACAGGCCCCAACTGGGCCCCATCCTCTCAATGGGTGCTGCTTGAGCCCGCTTTCACAGCCACAGCATGTCCACCCATCTCCTGGCGGCCCTCCTTTCTCCTCGTCCGTGTGCGTGACCACGCGTGATGTCCTCCCCCAGGGACCGGCCCCTCCTGATGGCACGTCCGAAGCAGGTGAGATGAAGTCTCCCAGCCAGGCTCTGGCCGCCTGTGGCCTCTGCCAGCACCGCCATTCCTGTGTGCATTCTTGGGTCCCGCTTCCACACGCATGCGCTGTTGTGGTGGTTGTTAGAGGCCATTGAGCCAGTCCCGCCCAGTAACAGGAAACCAGGTTGGAACTCTGCGTCATCCTGCGCCGGCCTCACAATTGCCACCGTGCCTGAGTCCACTGGTGCCGCCACGGTGCCCGTCCATCTCCTTGAGGGCCTTCCTGTTTCTCACTCTCCCAAGCACGGTGTCCTTCTCCAGGGCCCGGCCTCCAGACACCACGTCCAAAGTACCGAGACGTTTCCCCACCTGGCCTCTGAGGAGCACCCTGGCTGCTGCTCTTCCAAAGACGGAGGGGCGTGTCCTTTTGGTGGCTTGGTACTTTCTCCAGCACCAGGTTCACGTGCACCAATTGTCCGCGTGCCTGTGAGGTCATTGGAAATACCTGGGTCTGGGCCGGGAGCACCTTTCCCTCAGTGAGACCTGTTTACTTGCTCACATGTTAGAGATCCTCTTCAACTCATGGACTTGCGGCGGCGGTGGGGCGGCGGGTACCTCCTTGGATTTCTGGACTGCTGCTTCCGTGAACCCTGACTGTGGAGTCAGGTCAGGTCCTCGACAGCTTCAGCTTTGTCTCCACTGACCCTGATGTCGCTATCGGCCGAGCGGTGGGGATCTTTTGACGTCTCCTGGCTGAGGCGTGAGCCATGCCGCGGGCTCCACACAGCCGTGTGTCAAGTCTTCATCACTGTCGACAGGCAGAGTCCATGTGGCGGGCCTCCAGTGCCCACGCGAGTCCAGCAGCTCAGACGGCGCGCTCGGCACACAGGCTGGCTACGTGTGGTGGGAGGACGCAGCCCTGAGGCACACCTGTCCCGGTTTGACCCCAAGCTGCCCCCTCAGCAACCCATGACATGCCCTTAGGTACGTTAGTAGGACGCCAGCCGAGTGACAGCACCCAGGGCTATCATGTGGTCATCACTGGAGCCTGAAGCCTGCTCTAAAGATCAGTTCCATGGTGAAGGTCACTTCTGGAGCCACAAATGCACCCCCTGAGGTCCCCCATCCCCCCCCCCCCTCCGCCAACAGCGCCTGCTCTCAGACACCCCTAGTGGTCGCAGAGCATTTTCAGGGCGGGGACCTGTTAGGATGGATACACCGCATGACAGCCTGTCACACACGGAGCACACTGTCCTGTCACCACCCCACCCCACCCCCAGTTTGTAACCAAGTACCCCCGCGGGCCCATCCTTCACGTGTGACACAAGCCACGTCAGAGCCACGAGAGACTTCCGTAACAGGAGGGACGGATGTCCCCAGCTGTCCTTTTTAAGCAGGACGTCGCCGCGCAGGCTTTGTCCCTTCTCGGTGCCTCGGAACTCCCACGCTCGTCTGTTGGGACCCTGGGCGCCTCGGGGCTGGATGGAGTGACCGCACTGGCACAGCCCAGCGCTGCAAGTCCTGCGTCTCCGAAAGACCCGGTGTCTGGCCCCGCCCCGCCGTGGCCCCGCCCCGCCGTGGCCCCGCCCCGCACACCCGGTCACGCCCTACGCAGCTGGCCACAGCCCGCGCGTGCACACTCGCACTCACACGGGCACTCGTAGTGGTAGTCGCAGTGGTCGTCCTTGTTCTGCACTTTGATGGGCTGGTACTGGTTTGCGCAGGTGACCTTGGCCACGGGCTTGGGCTCCAGCAGGACGATGCGATTGTTACCCTCGCACATGGCGATAGTGCAGTCCTCCAGGGTCCAGGTCTCGTTCACCTGGTGGCAGAGAACGGCTCTCATGACGCCCTGCATGTCTGCCTGCTCTGACTACCCACTCCTGCCTGCGGTCCAGGGCCTCACACCCACAGGAAAAAGCCACCCAAGGCCCGGTCAACGTGCCAACTGGGGCCGGGCCCCTCTCCTCAGGCCAGAGCTGCTGGGGCCAGGGCCGAGGTGCGGTCAGTAGAGGTAGGGTGCGAGGTCCCGTGGGGGCACTCAGGCGCCCCAGCAACCGCCCTGCTGGGCAGAGGGAGGCACCTGTCGAGGAGGGACCGTGTGGTCACAGCCCATAGGAAGGGCGGACGAGACTGAGGGCGTGGCGGGTGGCGTGGCCTCAGGGGAGGTGGACGGCACGGTGGTGGGGCAGGCTCCCTGGAAGCGATCGATGTCACACTGCTGATTGCAAACTGCATAGAAGCGGCAGCCAGCCTTGTCGGTCTCGTTGTACACGATGTCCCCTGCAGGGGAGGGAAGCCGAGTGAGCCTTCCCTGCAAACCCCCTCTTGCGGGACACGCGTGTGCCCCACCCTGTCGCCACACGTGGGGCGTGCGACCGCACAGCTTCTAGAAGCCACCCCCCCCTCCTCGTTCAACGGGTGCTGCGGCCACGTGGGGTAGTGTGACTTCCATGACACGCGGCCTGCATCAAAGTGTGAGCACGTCTTCTGCCAAAGACGCCCATAGGAGCTGGAGCAGACGCGACGCAGAGCCGGAGAAGATCCATCCAGAGAGCCCCGGCTCCTGGACCGGGTCAGAACGCCTCCGGCACCGCCCCAGAAAGCACGCTGCACAGCTCCAAGTGGACAGCAGGACTGAAGTGGCGCCAGTCCACGCCGAGAGGCCTGCAGCCTGGCCGTGCAGGCGGAAGGACGGCCCGCCCACCACAGGTTCTCCACGGCAGTCTGGCTTCACGGGAGCAGACGGCCTCGGCTTTCACCAGCCGTCGGCCGTGGGCTCCAACTGTCTACTCTTTGGCTAGCAGTCAGGTGCTTAACCCACTGTAACACCAGGGGCCTTCCATGCAAATTAAAATGAGATACTGCTCTGGCCTCCTTGTTGCTGTTAGGGGTCCACTTCTCCCTCCTGGCCATCCCATGGGGACCGTAGAACTGCCCCTGGGGTCGCACTGTGGGAGAGTACGGCTGCCTGCCCTCTCCATCAGGAGCGAGGCTCAGAGAGCAGGCAGAAGCGTGGTTGCAGGAGCAGACCACTGGCTCCTTGTCCGAGGGACTTGCTGTGTGTGTGTGTGTGTGTGTGTGTGCCCCAACCAGCAGGCAAGCGCTTCGCTACGGTGCCGCCGCAGGGCTCCTCACACACCTACTCTCAGTTCCTCCCGTCGGTTCCATCTCACAGCAGCCCCACAGGACCGATGGAACTGCCCGGCCCAAGACTGTCAATCCTGAGGGGAGCAGAAAGCCTCCTCCTCCTCCCACAGAGCGGCTCATGGTTTTGAACTGCTCACCTTGGGGTTAGCAGCCCACCTCATAGGCACTAAGCCACCACCCATCTATCAGAATGGCTAAAGTCCAGCACGTGGGCAGTATCAAGTGGTGACCGGGCTGTGGGGCCCCTGGAACTCCACTCGCCCCTGGGGCACTGCACCCCTTTGAGGGCATAGGGGGGTGCGGTGGGGGCAGCAGTGTTACCATCCTTCGAGGGACACATGGAAGGAGGGAGAAAGGAAGGTTCACCCCACACGGGCTCACAGAAAGGTGAAGCGCCCTCCCTCCTACCCCTTGATGTGACAGACATCAGCAGTTACTGGATACCCAACCAGAGGGACCCGCCCACTCCACAGTGAGGAGGGAGGGAGGGAGGGAGGGAGCAGTTCCTGGAAAGACACGGAGGAAGCCTCAATGTGCCCTGCTAAGCAGTGGAGAGGGAGTCCTGGTGGTTAGTGGTGACGTGTTAGCCTGTGATCCACAGTTCGGCAGTTCTAAACCAGCCGCCGCTCTGCAGAAGGAAGACTGGGCTTTTGGCTCTCGTGAGAACAGTTATGGTCTCAGAAACCCACGGGGGGCGGGGGTGGGGGTGGGGGGCTCAGTATGCGTCCATGTCTTGACTCAGTGGCAGTGAGATTAAGGTCAGCATTCATTGAGACATCAAACGACCCTTGCATGGGGCCAATCAGCTGCACAAGACCTCTCTAAAGGGATGGAAATCAAGGGTCCCACTGTGAGGACCATGGTGCCTGACCCAGGCCATGCTATTTCCATTCAGGGAATTTGAATTGTGGTGCTGGAAATGGGAAGGACCTTGGACTGCTGAAAGGACAGACGGATCTGTGTTGGAAGAAGTAAGGGCAGGGCGCTCCTCAGATGGGAGGAGGAGGGGACGGTGTCACGTACTGTGGACGTGCTGTCAGGAGAGACCAGTCCCTGGGGAAGGATGTCATGCTTGCTAAGGTGGAGGGGCAGTGAGAAAGAAGAAGGCCCTCCCAGGACAGACGGACACCGCAGCTGCAACCACGGCTCCCACATGAGAACCGCGGTGAGGACAGTGCAGGGCCGGCAGTGTTTCCCTCTGCTGGACATTGGATCGCTAGGAGTTAGAGCAGACTTGATGGCCTCGGACATCAGTAAAACAGAAGAAACAAGAGAGGCCAGTCTGAAGATGCTGCTCGCCGGACAATGCCAACAATAGGGCATTCCAGAAAAGGCAAGCCTTGGGGCTCCCGTGGCACAGTGCTGGAGCGGTCCCGTGCTCAGTGCTCATGGAACCTGGGGAGCTGGGAATCGGCAGCAGCTCTAGAGGAAAAGGCTGTGGCGAGCTGATTGGCAGGCCTCAATCCAAATCGCTCACCACTGTCTAGCTGGTTCTGAGACTCTCCACCTGCAGGACGAGGGAGCAAGACGGCCCTGCGGGGCTCGGAGACTGCCACCTTGCCAGGGGGCAGGAGGGAGGCGGGCTGGGTGTGGGAGATGACACTGTTTGCATAATACCATAATAGCGGCTACACTGCACACACTTGCAGAGACACACGGGAATGTCGAGCACACAGACTCAAGCCCGCAGGGACTTTGGTCTTGGCTTAGTAACCGTGTAACCACAGTGGCCAATCTGTTGTCACCAAGGAATATCATGCGGGGCACCCTGTGAATCACACAGACCGCCTGCAGCGAGGGAGCAGAAGGAGGGGCGCTCCCTCGGCTGCACTGTCCTCGGGAAGGGGTGCAGAGGCTCACCTGGCTGGAAGAGCTTGCCCAAGGCGTGGCAGTAACAGCGGCCAGTGGAGGTCCAGCTGGTAGAAGAAGTGGGTGGGCTCGTGGACAGCCTGGTGGAGTAGACTGAAGACGAGGTGGAGCTCAGAGTTGGCAGCAGTACGGTAGATGTCTCCATGATGCTGGTGGCCCTAGTCGTAGTGGGTACAGACAAGGTCCGGGTGCTGGTGA